CATAACCTCGTTCTCATCTTCCTCGCCTTCCGACCAACTAGACTCCACTTTGCACCGATCACATTCACATTTGAAACCATAATCCTCAAGCAACCTCTCTTGCCTACTCGAATAGCTCATGTTCACAGGGAAGTAGCTCAAACAAACTTCTCTACCTTCAGGAACATCATGAATCATCCTAATCACGATATCGGTATTACCATCCGAAGCAGAGTCAACGTAATCGAATCTACAAGCATTAGGAAGACAATCATGATTGAAAAACGAAGTCTTGGGATAAATCCCATAAGCTCGTACCGATCTTTTCTCATTCAAAACAGAGAACGGTTCCATCAAACCAAAACCATTAACCTTATCCTTAACCAGTAAAGCCGCCGTGAGCTCCGGCGAGATTTGAACCGGAAGAGGTGGACACACGGCGGATAAAAGAGAATGAAGAAAAACAGCACCGTCACAATCACCAGTACCTTGAAGAGAGAGCAAAATCTGGAAATCAGAAGGAGAGGCAGCGGCGAGATTGTAAGCAGAGAGGAGGAAACGAGCTTGGACTTGACGTTCCGGAGATTGATCGGAGAATGCTGCTGCGGCGGAGGATGATTGGTGAAGACGGCGAAGAGATTCGCAGAGCCATGGCGTGTGGGAAGAGAAGCAATTAGGGTTACAAAAGGAGACGAGAGAGCATGATTGACATTTCTGAGCTGATGAAGGTAATGATCGGAAACAATGGTCGCAGTAAGGAGAAGCGGAGGAGAGAAAGGGAAAAGCAGAGTAGAGAAGGAGAGGAGATTCTCTGAGGATAACTTGTCCGGCACGAAGAGATTGTGAAGCTACTAAACTCCGTCCTCTACCACCGATTTCTGCAACTCTCAGGAGCGACTCCGACTTAGCTCCGGCGTCGTTCATTTTACCAGCCGTCGCCGTCGCCGTCGATTAGGGTTTTTCCAAAATAAAACGATTTATAGTGAAGAAAAAATGGAAAGGAGTAAAACGGTGCCGTTTTCAATCACGTTTGAGGTAGAAGAGATACATATCGAATGGGCCTTATACAAGCTTGTGGAATTTTTGGCCCAAGAGGTTAAAAGAGTGATTAATACAAAATTGTGTTTTATGATGAAAAGAGAGAATTAGGAAGTGTAATGTCTTATCAATTAATTAGATCATATTTTTATAATGTAGATGGATAATCTATAATATTAGAAACTTTTGAATCAGTAGCTAAATGAAATAGATAAATTATAACAAATGGATCTTTTTTTTTGGCCGACAAAAAAATGATTAATACTTTTTTATT